ACCCACTTTACTTAACACACTCTGATCAATATGAGATCAGTCTCTAATTTGTAATCAAATTTGCTTTCAAACAAAATCTTACTTCCAAGCTAGTATTTCACGTATTTCTTCTCGTCTTAAATAGCAACACTTCATTAACTTAGTGGTCACCTTACTGTCAACAAGTGTGGTTATGTTGACGTATTTCTTCAATTAGTATGGGCAGTTAGTTCGGTGTCATGTGTGATGAATTGAAGGTTGATGTCACTCACATTTAATATATTTCGCGTGTTTCATTGTCTGATAACCTTTATTTCATGCAATATTCTTAGAGCGATGACTTAAATTCGCCACTGTTTGATCTCAAAAGCGATATTTTAACATTAAAACAAAAACATTAATTACAATAAAATCTGTTTATTTATAGAATGATGAGCGGGTTGACCATTTTTTGTTCTTTTTTTCACCTGCAAATAGTATTTATCAAGCTGTGACACATTGTATTATAAATATAACTTGTGTTTGTAAAAGCAAAAAGTCACGTTCATATTCCAGACTGTTTACAAAGAAAAAGAAAAAAACACACTTTGATTCATGCATGTAACTAATCAAATACCGAATGGAAAAGTACAAAATGAAAACAAAAATAGATCTGGGCTCGGCTCTGCATGAAGGCAGGATGTGTTTGTGACTTTCCAATTTCTTTGAGTACTCCGACTCGATCGATGATCTCGAGAACACTGTTAGGTCAGATGCCATCTTCGGTAGTCTGCTTACAAAACTACCATAGACAGCTGCGTTGGTTTAGTTAGTTCATAGTGGATAATTCGTAGTATGTTACAAATACTAAACTTAATTGTGACCAATCACAAGAACAGACATTTAATAAATCTTAAGTACGTATCTAATCTGTATCTTATTTTATTGTCATCCAATGTTCTCCCGAATATACGATTAACAAATTGAACTACTTGAACTATTGAATATTGGGTTTATATACTACATCTTGAACTATTGAATATTGGGTTTATATACTACATCTTGAACTACTGAATATTGGGTTTATATACTACATCTTGAACTACTGAATATTGG